CCACCCTGCTGCAGCTCCAGTGCCCAGACAGCTACCCCCCCAGCACCGCCCCTACCTTCAGTCGCCCTTCCCCTGCTCCTGCCAGCAGAGCAGAGCAAAACCTAGGTTCCTATTCAAAAAAACTGGCCGGACAAACAGAGATCTGAGGCCTCCAAAAGAGGACATGTCCAGGAAAACCCAGACGTATGGTAACCCTACATTACATATGACCAGACTGAAAGCAGCAAGGTCCTTGGTCTTCACCTTCTGCATTGTGAGCAGAACAAGACTGATTGGCAGAGCCTTCTCTAAAAAAGTCCCTTAGCTCTTGTTTTTGCTTTGCTCCTTGCTCTGCCAGAGGCAGATCTGTTAATTTGCAGGGCCCTCTTCTTGCAACTGCTTCATGCCATGATGCATGGCAAAGAACTTGTGCCAGAACTTGAGGATGCTGGTATGGATAAAAGGTAGTAGGCAGAATAGATTTGCACTAACTAAATCAGAAGTGTATAGCATACATTTCTGTAAGTAAATCAGAAGCTGTGAAGGAAGAGACTGCAGGAAGCTGAGTTGCTTAAGTGAAAGCAGTGATTGGAATACAAAGGGCAGGGAATGGGGAGGAGAAATGAGGCAGCCCTGCTAAGAGAGGCAGTGTGGGTCCAGCATGCGAGTTAGTGCAGGAGTTTGTGCAGGAGGTCGTGTGGGTGGGCCCAAGGCCCTGCCAGTGAGCCTCAGGGTAGGCTGTCACAGCAGTAGCCAGACTACCAGCAGCACAATGCGGATGGCCACATGCCACACCCTGAGGGTCCCCTTGAAGTCTGAGGCACTTCTGAGGTCTCCACCCAGATGGAACCCATGGTTCTGGGCTCCACGCAGATGGAGCCTCTGGCTTTCGGCTGCAGGGGCTGCCTGGCATGTTTCCAGGCACATGGGACTGGGTGCGTGGCCACCTCCCCTTGCAAGGTTTGCTCCACTTTGGAGTCTCTGGGGTGCCAAACAGAGGAGCTCCAGGCTGCAGTCCAGAGACTGTGTGCCATCAGGGATGGCAAGCAGGAGACAGACTCCTACTGCCAGGCCTTTCACCCCTGGAGGCTGAGGGGGTGTTCCAGGACAAAGGAGGACTCAAGGATCTCCCATACTGTCCAGCCAGGGGGTTGGACCAAGGTGGTCAACGGCCCCAAGCCCCACTGCACCAGGATCCCCTCCCCTCTGGAGCTTTGCAACAGGTATGAACCTCTTGCAGCTCCAGTAGAGCCTGTAGAGCTGCCAGCTTCTGCAGGCAATGGAGGCTCACTTGCAGCTACTGTCCCCGCTCTCCTTAAGACAGGGGGTGGGCAAAATATGGCCCGTGACGCCACTCTATCTGGCCTGCAGAGTCCCTAAAAAAATTTAGAAAATTAAAATTTATCTGTCCTTGGTTCCTGTCAAAGATGACAGGAACTAAGGGCAATAGGACCCAGGGGAAGCCCTGGAGAGCTCCTGCAACAACAGGGCCCACTGGTCCCGGCCCCCCAGCTGGAAGCCCCAGGAGGGGCTTCTGGTCTGGGACCACGTGGCTGCACCACACCGGAAACTCAGGTGCAGCAGGGGAGGGGGGGAGGAAGGAACTGGTGCAGAGTACAGGGGAAAAGCAGCCCCTCCCTGCCCCCCTGTGCCTGGAGCTCTCTGGTGTAGCCGTTTGCAGCCCATGTGGGGATCTCTTGAGCAGGCACAGGCAGGCCCACGTGGGCTGCAAGTGGCTGCAGTGCAGGGTGCTGGCCATGGGGTAGGCGAAGAGCCACCTTCCCACCTTGTGCTCAGCACCAGCTTGTAACCTGCCCCCGCTGCCAGCCTGGGCCCCGTGCTGGCTCCGGGTTCACCCATCCAGGCTGTGCTGCAATGGCAGCAGCTGCAGCCTCCCTGCTTGCCACACCAGGCAGTGTTTGCCACTGCTGCCTCTGGGCTGCTCAGCGTGTGAGCTCCAGGTGGGCAGCAGCAGCAGCAAACACTGCCCAACATGGCAAGTGAGGCGGGGGCCACAGCTGCTGCTGCTGTGCGCAGCCGCAACAGGTAAGCCTGGAGCCAGCGCAGGGCCCAGGCCAGCAGC